AGTGGACTTTAGTCAGTAATAACGTGTCAGTACTAGCTCAGTATTTGTGATATATGTACCACACTGATCCAGATGTTACTAGAAACTGAGCAGGTAGTGAGGGAGGCAGAAAATTGAGGCGTACAGGGTCTCAATTTTCTGTACACCTAAGGCTAATCTAAAAAATTAGTTGGGCCTGTGGAATACTCCTTTAATACAGCAATTGGGGGGCAGAGACAGGGGGATTTCTCTTGAGTTCCAGGACATAGTGAGACCATGTCTTAAAAAAATGTAATTTAAAAACCAACAGTAAAACAAAGATTTTCTCTTTGATGTTAAGTCCAAGGGAAACTGGAAAGGGAGGCATGTTCTTACCCTGAGCTTTGATGTTTTGATGTTCTTCAGTGAGGTGTAGCTCTACTTGGCAGTAGTTAAAAGTACAGCCTGCTCTTAGAAAGCATGGATTAGGCTTCTCTGCCTGTGGGGGCCTGCGTCCCCCTCCTGCATAGACCATGTGAGGACCTTGATGCCCCAGTTAGAATGGAGCCTAGTTCAGCAATTTGATCTGTGTTTTAAGGTCCATGTATAACTTTGTACCCTCAGGGTAATAGCCATTTGAGAATGCCAGTAAAATACAGGCCAGATCTGTTGACCTTGTACCCACTAGTCCCTGCCCCCTTACCCCTCCCCCGCCCCATGGATTGTCTGGTAGAATAACAGCATGTTTCAGTTTGCATAAATAAACTCTTGAAGGGTATGAAAGTAATAAACATGGTGGGAACTGACAGATGGAGAACAGAGTGGTAGCAAAGCTTTACTAAGTGCCTCTTCATAGACTGCTTTTACTTTGAACCATATAAATATTGCTCATCAAAACAATGGCAGGGCCTTCAGATTATTCATGACTGAATGTAATAATTATTTTAAGGCTGTTTTAGATGTAACAGATTTATTTTATTTGGACCCCAGTGCTCAGAGAGGCTAAAGTGGAGAAAAAGGGAGGACTTTATGTAGTTTTCATATCCATTAAAGCCTATCTTTCATTACAGAAACGGACACATAAACATGTGCAAATGTATTGAAATTCATAGTGAACATTATGTGTATGTCTGAAGCATTCATTCTTGTTTGAATGGTCAAAGCAAATCTAATGTTCTTAGAAACAGCAAATTCAGTGTCTTTTGAGAAGCATCTTCTTTTATAATATTTTGTAATTTCAAAAATTCACAATAGTTGCTTCTCTGTGGGAAAAAAGAGTACATTTTGATAATTGTGAATGTCTCTTCCTCGATAAGTACTAGCAAAAACCGTACTAACTTTTGTTTCAGATTTGACAAAAGTGTGTCCTCTGACACTCAATCCATCCTTCCATCCCTTTTAACTTTAGTAATTGACTCTGACTCATACTGATTCCCGCTAATTACAAAATTTGCTCTCATAGGTTCAAGACTGCTCTCTCTTTTGTTCCATTTTGATATTGAAAATGATAATTTAAATAAATCTATAATTATGAAAAAACAAGGGCAGGGCTAGGAGGATATCAGTTCTTACTTATACCCTGGATTCAGTATTTTTTTAAATTCACATATTTCTTATATATTATACCCTGGGTTCAAGCCTCAGCATTCTCAGTAATGAAAAACAGCACTCTTAGTTAGGCAAACAGAAGAAAGGAAAAAAAAATCTCTTATTAGTCCAATTTAATTGGTGGATTTTTTCAAGTACCAAAATTCCAGATACAGGTAAATCTTTTGTGGCACAATGAACTGCTGTTGGTCACTTTTTCTTTTCCCTTAGAATTAAATTCACAGCTTATATGGGATAAAGAGTTATTTTTTTCTTCATTATAGCCATTGTACTTGATCTAGGCTCCCCTGGGTTATTAGTGTGTTTCATGTTAGGGACATTCTCTTTAAATCACAAGTTTAAATAGAGCTTCCTGAAGCTGTCTTCCCTGTAGAATTTTGTACAAATCTTACCTGAGTGGAGTTCTTCAGATCTTGGTGGTGAAAGAGGAGAAAGGCAGTCCCAGAATCAACAGCCAGCATATTTTTATAACACTTGATTAAAGAGTAAAGGCTTTGCTGCCTGTGGTGGCACATGCCTTTAACCTCAGCACTGGAAATGTCCAAGCAAGAGGATTTCTGAGTTCTAAGTCAAGCTGAGCTGCACAGTGAGTTCCAGATCAGCCAGGACTACACAGTGAGACTCTGCCTTTAAAAAAGACGGAAAAACAAGTAAAGAATTTATTTGGAAATTATAAATTTAGGTATAGTGAACAATAAATTATATATTTCCTGATTTTGAATAGTATATAGGTACTAATTTAAAGATTGAGTTTTATAACCCTGGCTTTATAAATACTTTGACTACTAAAAATGGTTGCAGTATTTATCTTGTACTGTGTGACCTTGTGCTTGTGCCACATTTAAATTAGAAGGCTCACAAGAATCAACATTCCTGTATATTGTCATTATTGTTTAAAAATTCAGGATAAGTACACTGGTGTGATGGCTCTGCTGGTATAGGTACTTGCTGCCAAGTCTTAACCACCAGGGTTCGAGTCCTAGAGCCACAGGATGGAAGGGGATTCCTGCATCTTTCCTTGACTTCCGTACATGTGCTGCATGTGTATGTGTATGCCTATATGTGTGTTTATACACACAGTGTGTAGAAAATGAAAAAAGACTTGACACAAATTTGCTTATTCTAGATTAGTAACACTTCTTAGTGTGAGAGGAATTTGCTAAAATATGTGGCACTTAAGTTTTTCTTTGGTGTGTGTGTGTGTGTGTGTGTGTGTGTACATATATATAAGTTGATAAATTTGATTTCATGTTCACAGTAATGTGTAAATTAGATTATTTGCACTTTCTCCCTAGCTTTGTTCTGAGTTTACAGATGTTAATAAGGTTGTTTTGAGTTGATACCTCAGGAATGCATAAGCTTTTATCACATTGTTTTTATTGCATGAATTCTAAAGATCAGTCTTGAAACAATGATAATTAGGCCGATGCCAACCCAGAAGTAATTTCTGTATGGTGTATTGGAAAATGAACCCTGTGACAGCAGTAGAGATGCTGCCCTGGAAGTCAGCAGACCTGTGATCTCTTTCCAGGAGCTGGTATAAATGACCCAGGAGGTTGCTATGGGTCTCATCTTCCCATTGTGCAGGATGGAGGCTCAGACTCCACAAGCCCAGGGGCTATCAAACACCAGTTTCCTAAGAGTCTTGAACTCTAAAATGTTTGGATTAGTTACTACGAAGCACAAATTATCTACTTCTGTTTTTCAAAAAAATGAGCTAAGCAATAAAAAAAATACAGCTTGTAAATACAGATTTGAGCACAGATCAAACTGACTCTGGAAACATGCTTTTAGAACTTAAGGCAATTAAGAGAGGCTTCAAATGACAATGTAAGTTTAGAGGAAAACCAACATTACCTTATAGGACAGTAGTTAGGTCCTACTACATAGTGAAAAGCTGTACATTCTTTCACATTGCCTGTGCTAGAGGAATATTTACTGTTTTGGGAAAGTATTTATGATACAACCAAAATACTGAAAAGCAGTATGCAAACATATGGTCTCATTTCTTTGGGGGTGGAGGGTGGGGAGAGGCAGAGACAGAGAACCAGAAGTGCACAAAAGGGTTAACAATAGTTTTTCTCATATATGAGATTACAAACTATGTGGGCTTCTCTATATAATCTGTGTCTTCCACAGTTTTCAACAATGAATGTAAACTTTTATAATCAGGAAAAGGGACTAAAAAATAATCTGTCTTTGAATTATAAAAGTTGAAAAGGCTTCAAGTTGACCCTTCCTGCCTCTGGGGGAGGACTGACCTGAGCATCCTAAGAAGATTGATGCTCCTGTTTTAAGATCTCTCCTCTGCCTTGTAGGAACTATTCTGTACCCAATCAACTGCACTAAAGCAATTTGCTCTTATTTCTATTACATAATGCCCCTCCCCACTCAGAAACCCCAGCATTGAGGAAGCTGAGGCAAAGGAACTGAGCGTTTGAGGCTGTCCTGGGCTACATAATGAGATCCTGTAGGAAAAAGAAAATTGTTTTCTAAAATAAGAAAAAGGGGCCTAGTATATTGTTCCTGCATGGACGAAAAACACTTACTCCTCCAGCCCAGGTGTTATGTTCTGCTCATACAGACACCGAAGCTGACTGTTGATACTTTGCAGGAACCAAAGAACAGCATGATAGCTACCTCTTCGGCACAGGCTCTGACTGTTCTGGCTGTTTGCTAGCACGGTGGCATCAGTCAGTCCTGATCTTTCTCTTTGGGATTTAGCACACTCTAGTGGACAGTAGCTTTTCAGTTGCTACAGTTTTATTTATCATGTTAAGTTACTTTATTGGACAATTCATTGATGTGTCTCTGGGTAGTAAAGTTTGTTAGTTTGTATTTAGGCTGTGACCCTTGTGAGCAGGAGGAACTTGGTCGGTCACCCACTGGGGTGTTATGTATGTTTATGTAGCTTTACTAGGAGGAAGAGACTTGATGTGTTAGGAGGGAGCTAGCTTTTCCCTGGTACTTCTCAACTTCCCTGGGGTGAGATGCCCTTGATAGGTGAAGCCAAGACACGGAAATCTTGGAGTTTTTCTCAACTTCCCATCTCTCTGCCTTTTGAATTTCAATTCATTTTGTGTGTATGAGTGTTTTTCTGCATGTACGTCTATGTACCATTTGTACCTGGTGCATATGTAGGTCAGGAGTCATTGGATCCCATGGAATTACAGATGTTTGAGTCACCATGTGAGTGCTGGGAATTGAACCCTGTCCTCTGGAAAAGCAGTCAATGCTTTAACTGCTGAGACATCTCTCCAGCATGCCCTCCCTCTCCTCTGTCTTACTATACATTTTATATTTCTCTTTTAAGACTCATAATTTTTTATACATTGCTCTGTAAAATATTTAATTGTGCATAAACATTGTCCATACCCTATCCTGTTTCAATAGGTGCTGCCAGCAAAAAGGTAATCTATCTTGGTTTTTTTCAGAGTGATGGTGAAGATCTCAATTACATCATTGCGTTTTTCCTTGGAACAGCAGCCTGCCTTTACCAGGTACGTTTTCTCCCATTTGTAAACAACTCTTCCTCATTATTGTTTGTTTCAGGTGTTGCATCTAATAATTGTCCATATATTTAAAATACATGAAAATGGTGCCTGACTGGTTTGCTTCTTTTAATTTGAGCCTCGGTCACCTTTGTAACATACACTTCTATCTGAGTAGACAGAGGTTCCCAGTGGAACCTTTCTCTGTGCTGGGGATTCAGGGGTGTCATGCTGTGTTCCTACAACAGTAAGGCTGCTTCTAGATTTTTTAGAATTATTGAGCATCCAGGTAGAGGATTTTGTGCTCTGGAGAAAGCCTTGAATAGGGAGTGATGCAGCAAAAGTAATATTTTAGGATTTTAAAGTTAGTAGAGATGAATAGGACGATTGTAAGAGCAGAGAGGCAGGCGGTTAAGAAACCAGTTGGGAGATGATTCTAGTAATTCAGATGGAAATAAAGGGAACCAAAACTGTGGCAGTGACAGCAAGGTAGTGAAATATTGTCACTGAGAAGGGAGACCAACCAGCACTTAAACAGAGTGTACAGGAGACTCAAGGAGGGGACAGGTTTTACTCCTGCATAATAGGGAAGACTGGTCAGGGGAGGGATGAGAGGAATGACCATTCCAGTAACCCAAACTTAGGAAAGATTTGGTTTGAACGTAAGGAGCAAACAGGGACCCTTGACCTAACTTTTGTTAATATAGGAAAGAAGAATGAAAAAGCTAGCAAGATGTAAAGCTCTATATGTTCCTAAGATTATCCAAAATTCTGTAGAAATCTTTAGGGAAATACTTTGGTGAATATTTGAACTTTACATAAACATGAACAATTATAAATTTTAGTTTCAGTGGCTTCACTTTTTAAAATCTTTAAATTTTCTTAATGTTGTCTGTAGAAAGCTATTAAATTTGACAGATTTCATTAGGACAGAGGACATTTCATACAGGTAATGTAAAGCCATACATTTGTTAATGCATGCCGTGTTTAATTTTATACAGTGTTCTTTTGTGGGTTTTCCACTTTAATTCCCATGCCCCATCATGCAAGGTTATTGTCTCATTTGTGAAAACAAGAACAGAAGCACTCAGCAGTGTCCAGGAAAGGGAGGAGTCATAGCTAATGCTTCAGAATTTAAATCCCAGGTTCATCCCCTATAGCATGCTACTTCTACCCTAACCAAGTCAATACTGTGGTGATATATATACTCCTAATTTGGTTTTTTGTTTGTTAGTTAGTTTGTTTGTTTTTGGTTTTTTGAGACAAGGTTTCTCTGTGACTTTGGAGGCTGTCCTGGAATTAGCTCTTGTAGACCAGGCTGGTCTTGAACTCACAAAGGTCTGCCTGCCTCTGCCTCCCAAGTGCTGGGATTAAAGGTGTGTACCACCACCGCCTCACTATGGTTGTTAGAATCTTTTTTTTTTTTTTTTTTTTTTTTTTTTGGTTTTTCGAGACAGGGTTCCTCTGTATTGTTTTGGAGGCTGTCCTGGAACTCGCTCTGTAGACCAGGCTGGTCTCGAACTCACAGAGATCCGCCTGCCTCCCGAGTGTTGGGATTAAAGGCGTGTGCCACCAACGTCCAGCCTAGAATCTTTTTTTTAATTTGTACATTTTTATGATATTATAGCTATAATTTTATAACTGCTATCATGATTCTAACATGAATGGAATCTCATGAATGGTAACTCTTATAAAGGTAAAGCTTTGGTTGCTTTGCTTTGCATAGGTAATGTTTGGTGCCTAATCCTGTTGGCACAGTTACTGACTTCCTGTGTTTTACTAAGGCCTTTATTCTCATTGTACCATTAAATCATCACAAGAAAACCCCACACTAGTCCTTTTATCAGCACCATGTTTTTCACTGAGGTCTAGACCATTCTTACAGCTAGTTAGTGATGTGGACCTTTGTCTGTGTTACTTCACAACAGGCTCTTGATTGCCAGGCACACCTCATACATCACCCAGAACAGACTACAGTAGTTGGAAGAACTGCTTAATGGGAGAGTAATGTCAACCAGGTATCACTTGAGAGAAGTGAATAAATTCATGCTTTAAGAAAGGAGACTGTAAAATCCACAGCTTCAGAATGGCTACTCTAAGTGTATATAAGTTCACTGAGATGACAGAATTTGAGTCTGGTTGGTATTTGTGTATGATGTATATTTTATTTGAAAGTTTTTTTGTTTTTTTTTTTTTTTTGAGACAGGGTTTCTCTGTATTGTTTTGGGGGCTGTCCTGGAACTCACTCTGTAAATTGGCCTTGAACTCACAGAGATCCACCTGCCTCTGCCTCCCGGGTGCTGGGATTAAAGGCGTCTGCCACCAATACCCAGCCTATTTGCAAGTTTTCTTTTTTTTTTTTTTTTTTTGTTTGTTTGTTTGTTTGTTTCTCTGTGTTGTTTTGGAGGCTGTCGGTCCAGCCTGGCCTCGAACTCACAGAGATCCGCCTGCCTCTGCCTCCCGAGTGCTTGGATTAAAGGCGTGGGCCACCACCGCCTGGCTATTTGCAAGTTTTATTAATAAAGTTTTAAAAAATTAAAAATGGTAAGCAGACTAGTTTCCTGCATCTATATTAAGAATCCTCCCACTTTCCAAAAATGCTGAGCAGAGTGGTAACTATTTTTTTGCAGTTACATTTTACTATTTAATTGCTGTGTTTCCAGTTGTCAGGGTATGTTTTAATGTGTTAAGTCAGATCTCTTAAGTTCACTACTACAGACCTGGTTGCCCTTTTCTTCAGGATGCCAGAGCTGATGGATACCCAGAGCTCTGCCAGGAAGGATTACTCTTGATACCAAGTATTTCAAGTAGAACTGGGGTCAGCAGAAACACAATAATCTATTTCGTTTCTAAACTTTAAGAATTATCCTTTCAAAACTGCTAAACTTACAGAAAAATTAAAAGATTGGTATATGCAGAATCACCTATTAACATTTTGTAACACTTCCTTCATCTCTATATATATACATGTATGTATATGTATGTATGTATATATATATATGTACATGGGTGAACATACAGTATGCATGGAGATATTTATGAAGTAAGCTTCAGGGGCCAAAGAGATGGCTAAGTACGTAAAAGTGCTTGCCATGCAAGACTGACAACCTGTTTGTCATGTATTCCATGTAAAAGTAGAAGGAAAGAATCAACTCCACAAAATTGTCCTTTGATACCCATGCATGCTCTGTGGCATGGTATGTTCATGGTATGTTCTGGTACCTATACTGACACAATAATAATAGAATTTAAACAGAAACTGCTAAAATTAAAAAAAATTAAAAAGAGAAATCCTGCTCAAAACAAGTAAGAAGAAAAGAACTAACTCCTGAAACATTATCCTCTGACTCCACATTTGGGGTGTTCGCACTCATACATACAAATATGTGTGCACAAAGAATAAATAGTTAAAACAAATGGGAGTGGTAAGATGGCTCAGCAGACAACCCTGATGATCAGATTCAGTCCCTCAAGTCCACCTAAAAGTAAGAGAACTGACTCCAAAAACTGTCCTCTGACCTTCACACAAGCCATGGCACATGTATGCCCACCTTTATTCACCAATATCTTACACACAGTAATAAAGAGAACTGACTCCAAAAACTGTCCTCTGACCTTCACACAAGCCATGGCACATGTATGCCCACCTTTATTCACCAATATCTTACACACAGTAATAAAGTTTCAGATATATATATATACATATATATATATATATCTTGCTAAAGCATTTTAGGACAATTGTAGACTCAAGGGGAATAATAGGAGAAATTCTGTAAATTCTTTTTACCTGGCTTTCCCTGTGGTACCATCCTGAAAACAATAATACAATATCATAAGTGCTGTGTTGATGTTGATACAGGCAAGTATATTAGCCATCGGTAGTAGCCCCATATTGCGGTGCCAATCTTTGTGGGGCTTCAGTTAGATCCAGCTGACTTGCCTGGTTTGTACCTGATGGGAGTGTGAATTGAGAAATGACAGGTAAAGATGCTAAGGAAAAGGCAGAGATACAGGGTAGAATCAGGAGGGCAATCCAGTGAATACTGAACACATCAAGTTTATTTTTCAGCATTCTTATATACCCAAACCAAAAAGGAGAAAATGGTGAAAGATTTCTGTTTCTTCCTTGTATCATGGTAAAGAAATCTTTCACCATTTTCTTTCTTACATTTGGTAACCATGCCTTAGACTAAAGTTTTTGTTATGTAGCCTTGAGGGTTAAGAGTAACCATATCTCAGACCAAGTCTCTTGTTATTTAGATAAAGACATCCATGACCAAGACCAAACATCATACAATAACTATGTCTTAGACCTTTAGGTCTTATGATTTTAACCTTGGAAGAGTAAGGATAGTTTTGAACTCTCTAAACTTAAGCCAAGATGAAGCAGAGTCATCTTTCTGGGCCCCAACAGTCAAGATAGAGACTATTCCTGTCACCAAAAGTATCCCTCATGTTTCCTTCTATGTTACATAAATGGAACCATGTAGTATGTATGTATCAGTTAAGGCAGTTTTGCCAAACCTACATAGGCTAGAAAGAGGTTTAAACAATAGGTGTTTATTTCTCACAGTCCCAGAGGCTAGGATGTCGAAGGCCAAGGTGTCGATAGACACTTCTTCTGGCTTGGAGAAGGCTGCCTGCTGGGTGTGTCTTTACATAGCAGGAAAATGTTAGTCTCTCTTCTTTTAAGTCCACTAATCCATTATAGGTGTGCTGCCCTTTATCTTGTCTAGACCTAGCAATTTCTTAAAAGTCTACTTGTTAATATCCCCACAGTGGATAAAGTGTTAGACCTTACCTTTTGTGATTGTTCTTTTACTCAGCATAATTCTCTGGAGATTCATCCAAGCTGTTATATAGTTGATGGGTTTTTTGAGGCAGGGCTTCACTGTATAGCCCAAGTTAAGTTTAAACCCTATCCTTCTGCCTCAACCTCATGTCAGGGTTACAGGCATGTATCACCATGCCTGGCTTCATGCCTTTGTGTAGCTATGTCTTCATTAATTTGGGATACATATCCAGAAGTACAATTGCTGGCTTATGTGGTAACTACATGCTCATCTTTAATAGAAAACCATTTTCCAGAGTGCTGCACATTCCCGCCCTTTCTCTGTAGCTTCCCTAATATTTGGTACTTTGTTTTATTTTAGCCACCATAGTGGTATTTCATCATGGTTTTTACTTTGGAATCCCTTAATGGTCAATAATGTTTACCATTGCTTCATGTGCTTATTTTTCATCTGTGTATCCTCTTCAGTGAAATATCTGTTCCTATCTCTTGACTGTTTTCTGATTGGATTGTTTATTTTTTACTTTTGGGGGCTTCTTTTTTAAAAAGAGTTTTAAAAGTAGCCTTGTCACATATGTATCTTATGCTATCCTTTTCCAGTAGTTTGTCTTTTTAGCTTCCTAAGTGCTTTTGCAGAATATGCTTTTGATTTTTACAAAGCTAATTTAATGATTTTTTATGGCTCGTGTGCTAACATTTTATAACACTTCCTTAATCTCTGTGTGTACGGGTTAACATGCGCAGAGATGGCTAAGCCGGTCCTGAAGAATTCTTTTTTTTTTTTTCTTCTAAGTTTCATTGCTTTATGGTTTATATGTACGGTCAGGATTTTTTGTTAGGTTTTATTTGTGCTATGAGATGCAAGTTAAGGTTTCTTTCTTTAATTGTTTATACATGACCAAGTGCTCCAGCACCATTTCCTTATTAATTGTTTTCTTCCACTGAATTGCTTTTGCACATTTATACAAACTCAGTTGGGTGCACTTGTGTGAGACTCTCTGGGTTCTGAGTTATGTTCTTTTGATCTATGATTCCTTCCACCACAATCATGTGGTCCTTATTACCCTAGCTATATACCATCTTAAATTCAGTTTTCTTTTTTTAAAATTTATTATGTGTATAGTATTCTGCCTGTATGTATGGCCTGCATGCCAAAAGAGGGCACCAGATCTCATTATAGGTGGTTGTGAACCACCATGAGGTTGCTGGGAATTGAACTAAGGACCTCTTCTTATCCTCTGAGCCATCTCTTCAGCCCAAAATTCAGTATTCTTAATAGTTGTAGAACGATTTAAATTTTCTGTTTCAATAGATGAAATTAAGGTAGTTTGGGGGTTTTGTGCAAGTGGTCCATTTCTGTAAAGTTGGTAGTCGTAATTCTTAGTATTCTTTTGATATCTACAATGTTGATAATATTCTTTTCTGATGTTGGTAATTTATATTGTCAGTTTGTGTTTCATTGATTGAACCAGCTGTTCATTCCATCAGATTTTTTGTTTTGGTTTGGTTTATTTTTTTTCTCTCTTCTATCTTTCTGTTTTCAATTTCATTGATTTCTGCTCTTGTTAGGAGTTGAGTTGTAAACTTTTCCAGGGTTTTCATTTCAGTTCTGGTTTTTTCTCATGTGTTTGAAGTTATGTGGTTTTTGTTTAAACAAATTTGGGATTGCTTTGTTATCTTGGCAGTTTGACTCATGTATCATCACCTTTTTTGCTTTGAAATGTTTTGACATTTATACTATTATAAGTACTCTTGATTTTTGTATTAAAGTGCATGACACATCCTTTTCTGTACTTTTACATTGAGATAATTTTTTGATGGACAGCAAAATTAGTTTTGTTTTTTTTTAGTTCACTTTGCCAATCTGTGTGTTTTGGTTGCTGTATGTAAGCTATTTATGTGTAATAGAGCTATAGACATATTAGGGCTTATTTTTTGTTCTTTAATTTTTTAATTTTCCTTTTCCTGTCTTTCTATGGCTTATTTGAAATCTTAAGAATTCCATTTCAGTTTTACCTGTAGTATTTAAAAATGACTACTATAAATAGCACAAAATAGATGCTTGTCACAGTCTTCTGTTGTCAACACTTAATGTTGACTTCCTCCTATTTATAATACTTTTATTTATTTCTTCCACATGTATTCCAGAACACATCATGTACTGTTATAATACTTCTTGTTTCAACTGTGAAACAAAAACTCATAAGGAAAAGACCACCTTTCACATTATTTGTATAGTTGGCAATCATGTTGTTTTTACTTTCTCATATTTCAAGGTTTTTTCTTATTGTTTTCTTTTTGGTTTAGAGAAAATTCTTAGCTGTGTAATAAGTTTGATCAAGATGGTATCAACCAGATCTCTGCATTGCAAGGCATCTTTTTCATTGCCTTTGAAAGACTTCAAAATCATCAATTAAAATATTTAATACAATAAAAGATCTTTACAGGAGAATTCCAATTAATAAAGAATGATGGAGATAGAAAGTCACTATTAAATCACTCTTAAGCAAACACCACTGTAATAACTGATGCTGGCAGAGTCAGCAGTGGGTGGCAGACACTCCCATTAAGTGGTCCAAGTTGACAGCAATGATAAAGCATACTGTCTGGCACCTCTGTGTTGTTCTTGGCAAAATTACATATGCTTAGTTTGATCTTGGAACACTGGACAATCCAAATGAGGAACATAGCTCCAGCATAACTGATGAATATGTATCAGGTCTGTCAAGGTCATGACTAAGAAGCTATTACAGATTGGAGGAGACTTGACAGCTAAGTGCAGTACAGAATCCTGAGTGGGAAAAAGGTCCCTAATGGGACACAGGACAAAATTGAAGCCCATCAGTTAACAGTGCTAGCTGTGATCATGTCCTGGTATAAAGTCTGATGTGTGGTGTTGTAGCAGTGACTCCAAGTTAAAAGTATTTCAAAGGAAAAAATTTATGTCCACAGTGAAAATCACTCTTATAAAATAAATGTTTTTATTCATTTCACATAGATAGCAAAGTTTTTTTTGTTTGTTTGCTTTTTGTTTTCTAAAGGCAGACAGGGTCTTACTGTGTGGTCCTGCTATCCTGGAACTTTCTAGACCATGCTAGCGTTGAACTTACAGAGATTCTCCTGTTTCTACTTCTCAAGTACTGGGATTAAAGGCATCATTCCTGATGTATATTCTGTTAAGCATGGGAAAATCTTCACTCATGTAAGAATTAATGTTTGTCAGAAACACCCTTATAACCTCCTGTTCTGAAGTCTGGATGCAGTTCACAGAGACTCCTGCTCCTTCCAAAGACTTCATGAGCACACACATTCCTGCACTTTCCCTGGAGAGAAATGAATGAACAAGATAGTTAAATCCTTGACTGTCAGGAACTGTAGATGATGAGCAGAATAAACATGTTTTTAACATGTTGTGGGGGAAAATAAAGGATATGGGGGACAATACTAGGGCTGGTGGGGGGGTGCTTCTTTTACTGTGTCATCAGAATAGTCACTCTTTGTCCCTTTCTGCTTTATATTTACCCTTTCAAGAAACAACTGCTGAAAATTAAATGATGGAAGCAAGCTAATAGCACCCCCTCCTCCAGCATAAGCTGTGTAGATACCAGCTTCATTTGTTTATTTCGCAACTGAGAAACAAGACCCAACTTCTGCAGCTCCTCACTGCCCCCTACCCACACCCCATCCCTCACTGTTCATCGCATCTGAGACTTGTTGCTTTCTTTAGTTGTCAGACTCGAGTTGTGGGAAGCTCTGTCTTCCCGAGTTTTCTTTCTGGGGTGGGGATGGCACACGAAGCTGAGAACCCAGCAGTTTATCTATCTTGATTCCCTGTCTCCTTGGACGATTTCCCCAGTCTGACTTACACGGGAGTCACATGCTTGTACTTCCATTTAACATATGATGCAAAATGCTTTGCTTCTGAAAAATGAAAAATATAAAGGGAAAATTCATTTCTCTTTCAAGCCATGGAACTCCCATGGCTGAATATCTTTGATAGCTTCCATTATCTTATTCTTTGGGGGCAATACCTTTGTTTTATTTCTATGTTTTACTCTGATGTTAGCACATCTAGTTCTTTTCCTATAACCTAACCATCTTTCATTTTTATGTTTTGAACAGTGTTATTTACTCGTGTACTACACCAGCTGGCGGAATGTCAAATCATTTTTGACTTTTGGCTTAATCTGTCTGTGCAACATGTATCTCTATGAACTGCGCAACCTCTGGCAGCTTTTCTTTCATGTGACTGTGGGAGCATTTGTTACACTGCAGATCTGGCTGAGGCAAGCCCAAGGCAAGGCTCCTGACCATGATGTCTGACATCTCCCTTCAGATGTGTTGCCTGTCTTTGCCTTCAGGGGACAAAGGAGACGACATATATTAACTGCCACTGTGATGAAGAAACCAGTCGCCACACACGAGAAGCTCTGCTTTCTTTCTCGCCCCATCTTCCCTTCTTGGTTTTACAAATTAGCCTGCATGCCTGTGAGCATGCAGAACATGCTAGGAAAACCCTGAGAAGATCCTGCAGTGGAATATCAGGCTTATCACAGTAGGAGAAGCCCAACATCACCCGAAGACCTGGCAGTTAACCAGAACCTTGGTGTGGAACATGCTCTCAGGACCAAGCAGGAACGCTACAACCTGAGTTTGCCTTTGTGAGGCATTAGTGTAGACCAATGAAGAAGATGCTACAAGGGTTGGAATGTTACGGTCTAAAACAACGACTGTACTAAATACCAGATTGTTTGCACAGTTATAGTACCAAGAGTTTATGAAGTCCAGAATGGTGTGAAATTGGTTCCTTTACTTTTCTGTTTCTGCCGGTGTCTAACTCTGGAAAAATCACATGGTGTGGGAGAAGGCTGAGATGCACATTTCTAGATGTGTCACAAATCCTGACAATACAGTGACACACGTTTTCTTCCTAGACCATGTTTGTTGTTTATTTTGAAATCACTAAAAATACATGATTCATTTGACTATTATGGTCTCCCAAACTCTTTATCATTTGGGTACTGTGTATACTATTATTTGCTTAGTTTTTAACCTTAAAAAATTTTAAGTATTTAACAAAGACGGGAACCCCTCCTCCAAGTGGAAAATCAATGTCACTTTGCCAACACTCAATTAAATGTTACTAAGTTCTTACAAGATACTGATACCTGTCAGGGCTCTAAACCTAAGTGGCACATTCATTTGTGATAGTGCAAGTTGTTACCTGGCACCAAAATGAGAGCTCCTCTGTGGATCAGAGGATAATAGGAAATTGCAAAGGGAATGACATTTTTCAGTGACACAGCACTATTTAGTTGTGTTTTGCACTCGAAACCATCTTGCTTGCTGCAGACGTACTGAGGGTAAGAAAAGGGACTTCCCCTTAGAACTCCATTACTTCCTGGTTTGAGGAGGTAACTAGTATCCAGAAGAAATGACACTTTTTTTTTTTTGAGACAGGGTTTCTCTGTATTGTTTTGGAGGCTGTCCTGGAACTCGTTCTATAGACCAGGCTGGCCTCGAACTCACAGAGATCCGTCTGCCTCTGCCTCCCAAGTGCTGGGATTAAAGGCGTGTGCCACCAACGCCCAGCTGAAATGACACTCTTAAACTCTTAGAAAGACGATTTAAGTCATTTTGAATTCATAATATGGAAGCACAGCTTGATTCTATTTGCAAAAATCTGCAAGTCACCTGGTTTGGAAGCCATCATGAGTGATTTGCCTTTGTTTTTAAAGAAAAGATTCCAGACAAAGATTGCATGGGATTCTGACTTGATATGGAATTCCTGTTGGGGCGTAGTTACTCAGTAGAAGGAATCCAGGTCAAATCACTGACCTGCTTTGTCAGCCTTGCCCACTATGTGGACACTTGCAGACCTGGAAGATCTTCATGCCTGGAACCTTCACTACCCCTCCATCTCAGAAGAATAAGGTAGAAGGAAGGCAGTAAGTAGATTTATGATGGCCACGGTTTATTTAAAACCAACTCTAAGTCCATCTAGGTCACTGCTGTAACAAAGCTGCACAGTTATCCTGTACCTTCTAAGAGATGCCCCAGGATGCATCAGATGGGCCTAAGCCATCCCACATGGACTGTGTTTGCATTTTGTACTTATTGAGCCTTGTAAGTAAAGTGGTTCAATTTAGGAACAGTTTCTAAGCTAGTGGGTAGAGCAGAAGAGATTCCTTGTAAATAGTCAATTAAAGAGAAAGCTTGGGCTTTCTGGTTAATTGTGGTTTTACTACACCTTGGTATTTGATAGCTCTCTTACCAGTTTAGTTCAGGAGCTATATCATCATCACTTAGTTGAGTTACAGTGTTTATATTTGAATTCATTCAGCAGGGACACTTGAAAATCACTGATTATTTCTAAAAGCTTAACTTGTTTGGTTTTTTTTTCTGTCTTTGTTTTCATCAGCTATTTTGGGTAAGAAAATATTTGCATTTTAATGTACAGAATGAAACTGCTATAAATAATCTTTTCTGTATACCACTGCCATCCCTGAGAGGGTATATAGCTGCCCTGGTGTTTGTCATGGTCCTAGAAGGGACCTCCTTAGTGTCTGAGCTGTGATACTGATAGCTTACATTTGAAGCACATGTTTACTCCTAAGTGTCTACTCCTCAGGGTTCTAGTGAGGGTGTGTGTGTGTGTGTGTGTGTGTGTGTGTGTGTGTTCATGTTATGTGACAAGAGATAGAATAATTGGGTCCCCAAATTGCATGTCACATAGCTAAGCAAATGAGCTATAATTTTGCACCAGGCTGTCTCTACTAGTGTAGGACTAATGAAAGGACTGTATCTATTTGTGACAACAGTCTTCCCTGGTGTTTTTTAATAGATGTATTTTATCTTAATTTAGCCAGTTCTGAAATACTGCCTGTTGATTGTGCCAAGAGCAGACACTCTCTGTCATAACCTGAAAGCATTTGCCTGCTTTATTGGTCTGGTTTTGAAATGTATTCCTACTTAGCCTTTTCCCTGAAAAAACAACTTGCCAAGAAAAGCCGTAAGATACAGTGTTAACAGAATGTGAACAGAAATGGGTGAATGCAAAGAAGGGCTGAGCTGCCGTTGCTATGCAGAGGGTGTGACAGCACCTGGAAACTGGGGTTAGGAGAGAGCAAGTCAGACTGCTCTGTCAAGGTAAAATGTGTGCCTCGGTCCTGATGAATTTGGAAAAAAATTCTCATTTGGGGTCCTGGGAAGTGCTAAAGTAATCAGAATTCTTAATTAGACAATGTTTGCTTATTGTGTAAGTTATCTATTTGTCATAGGCTTCTCTCCCCTCTCTCTCTCTCTCTCTCTCTCTCTCTCTGTGTGTGTGTGTGTGTGTGTGTGTGTGTGTGTGTATGTGTGTGTGTAAGGATTTTGTTCCCATAAATAAAAATTCTTGCCTTGAACTAAGAACAAGTACCCATTAAAGCTTGAAAATCCATTTGAGACAAATGGATCATGGAGAACCTTTACCTATTTTTTTAATTTATAAAGCAAATTTGCTATTCCTGGTTTAACAGTTATTTTGCAATGTAGGTTTTTGGTGTTGTTTTGTTTTTTTCACTGTGAACTGAAGTCTGGAAGAGTACATTTCGGGTAGGCCATGACAGGAATGTCACTCAACTGTGGCTTTGCCACGTCTCCATGGAGGCCAGGGGCTTGCCCTGAGACTTTACCTCCATGGCACAGACTCAGGGTGAGTCCTTTGTGCTCCCAAAGTTAGCTGGCCTCAAATGGATACTTATTTGACTAAAGTAACCTAAGGACACACTCTGCTGGATTTCCAGTGGGGCATGGTGGAGTGTGTGTTTATCATTCTTGTTAAATAACTATTTAACAAGCTAGAGTCACTTTGTTAGAGCTGCCATGGAGTGTGTGGTTAAAAAGACAAATAAATGACTTCAAAAGCATCCACCACTTATACCAAAGTGAATACTTAGCCTTACCACAAATTACAGGTCACTCAAGGGCTGCATTCTATGCCTATGGTCAGGGTTTCTTTTTCTGCACTCTACTCCTTTAGAAAATGAAATCTTTCTATCTAGGAATGCTGTGGTAAATAGAACCTGTTGTTTTGTTTAAGATGGATTTAATAATAACCCTCACTAAATAGCAGCAAGAGAATCCCCTAAGGGTTTTGAATAGGTTGCCGAGGGCAGGCAGGCATAAGTGCAGCAAGTGTCTGTATCTGCCACTTGGTGATAGTCATGTGGTCATGCTCACTGCTGCTCTGGGGCTGCTGGCAGATAGTAGCCCTCCTGCTTAAGCACTGGCTATTTCAAGGAAAAGCAGTCCCTGACACTGACTCTTAGGGCATCTTTCCTGAATGGTGGAGCTTTCAAATCGATTATCAGGAAGATGAAATGCAGTAAATGTTGAAACCTTGTGTGCTTGGAAGCCATATGGTTTGCATCCTGCTTGTTAATAGTGACTGGCTTTGACATATGGGTGCTCAAGTGTCCTGTGCCTTGGCAGTGCTGGTGTGTAAACATTTACCTCTGCACACCTGAGGACTATAGGAAACTCAGAGAAAGGAATTCCTGAAATCAGTACCTGAGCATCACAAATCCTTCCCAGGTTTTCCTTGGCAATGAACAGTATTTTCAGCCCAGCCTCACCCCTGGTTCACATTTGCCCTTTTTTATTGTATCCCACAGCACAACAATGCAGGTATCACCCAAGTTCCATCTGAGATCGGGAGGCAGGACATGTGCCTTCCATTCCTTTGAGGGCTCAGGTTCATCCCCAGCTCTGTCTGGGCCACTTGACCATTTTGTGCCAGTGCTCTGTGTCAAGGCTGGGTTACAAACAACCTTGCCTAAAGGTGAACAAACAATATATTGCCTTTGTGCTTTGTGTTCCAGTAATGCTCACTGGTGCCTTTTGTACTTTGTGTGGTGTACCTTAAGGCAGCCTAGGAGCAGGACACACTACCTCATTTTCATTTGAGAAAAGCAGTACTTGGGTCACGAATGTCTTTGGATGGTATCATGCCAATCAATGGCGGAATGGAGTTGCTGCTGGTATTTGGATTTTTATTTAGGAGTTGGGGCAGATCTGTCTATGCTACAATGTGTCTCAGAAAATTCTTGTTGTGTTTAGTAGCATTATAGCAGTAGTAAGAACAGACAAAGTGGATACAGGGGAAAAACAGAATTGTGTGTTCTGCAACATGACTGGCGGTGGATGTGGCCATGTTGCCTTTGCAGCAATCATAATGGCATCCTCTCCTACAGATGAGCTGCCCAAGCCCTGAAGACGTCATGTGGCTTGAACACAGCCAGTGTGATCCCTCCCTGTGGTGACCCCAGGACTTTAGCTTAGACTGATTTTACTTGGAACTCATACTCTCTGCTACCATATAATTATAAACCATATTACATGGATGCCTGTGTAACTACATATGTATGTAGGTAATATGCATTTTAAATAAGAGACAATGTTGATGCCAACTCCTGTGGTGCACACATCCTAAGAAGAATGAAACAGTTGACTAAAACCCTGCATTTCTATCCATGACAGGACAGATGGCTCAAGGGCATGGGACTAAAGCAACCGGATTTTAGGTCAAGGGATATGGACTCTAGTAGTTATACTCAACTATCACTGGTGAGTTACATGCAAAAACCTTTACTTTCCTAAGATGCTGCCAAAATACTATGGCTCTTTGGTTTGGAATAATTTCATGGTTTCTAGATTGAAAACAGGAAACATGGAATAGTTTTCTGCACTTCAGACTCCCTGGTTCTCTTCTGCTTGTGCTATGACCTTGCATGTCTCTAAAACCTTTTTTGCCTCAGTTTCCTCCTGTGTACAGTGAGTAGGGTTGTGATTATCAAATGGATCAAATGGGTGGATGTAGGTAAAGCCCTAGGACCAGTGCTGGGCAGAAAGCCATGGCCATGGCCACCATGCTCACGGATGTGCTAATCCTTGTGAAAAGCTCCTTAGAAGCCATTCCTTAGGGGAAGATTCTATTGAAATGTCT